TCGACCTGCTAACCCACCCAACCCGACCTAAAAAATAACGGGTTAATCGGGTGCAGGTCATTCGGATTTCGGGTTATAAAAACTTCTATTTTTTGGACGGGTTCGGGTAGAGTCAACAGGTCGGGTTGTAATTTGCCAAGTCTACGGGTGAGATTATCAAATTTGAGTTGGATTTGAATCTTTAGAATCAAATTGAAGGATGGTTTGGATGGATCAATTGAAAAACAAGAAAATTTGTCCAATTATCTCATTTTAAAAGACGAGTCAATTCGAATTGTGTGCCTTCATCCCATACAATTGAATTGCCTCAAAACGATTCAGTTGAAATTCCTCAGGACAAATTGGTTTATCCAAATTTTATGCTGCCAAACATATCAATCTGGCCAGATTGTCTCAAAACGAAACAATTGTGTCAAATTCACCCGCTAGAATTCCTCATCCAAATGATCCGCGAAGCTTGAAAGGAGACACACATGAAATCACTCGCCAATTATTTAATTCAGCTTCACTTTTCAGGGCGGTAGATTCACCCAAACTGGGATGGCAATTTCAACCTGACCCGTTTTACGTGACTTGTTTGGCCTGTTTTGGGGAGGGGCGGGCATGAGTACCTCTCATTGACCCGACTTGCCCTGACCCGCCCAATTCTCGACCTGTTCTTGCCTAAATTACATGTAATCTTAGTCAAATTACTTATGATCTTCCTCTTATTACCTCATATTTTAGCTATAATAAAGTTGTAAATAAGTGAAAACCTCAATTTCTCCAATAATTTAACTACATTTTATCATATTATGGTTTCTTTCTTGGTCTTTTAATGAAAATAATGAATATTTCAAATGTTTTCCACATAAATTACATACTCATTGGGTTGACCTGCCCCCGCGCCCCATGATAGATTACCCGACCTGGACCAGACCTGCCACGGGGCGGGTATGGGTATCGAGATACCCGCCCCGGACCCGGACCTGCCCCATTGTCATTCCTAACCCAAACACTCATATGTGATTGTACTTGGGCACTGGGCCATGCTTGGAATGATACGACACGGGGAACGATTCGTGCCCATATATCGCGTGTCATACTTGGCACAACCCGTCAGTTTTGGTGTCGTGCCACTGCCAACCCAATTTTCTAATTTGGTAGGTTCGGCCTGAGCCCACACACTGTTTGAATCGTTTGTGCTTACTCGTACTTATGACGTGCTCATATTCGTGCTTAATGAAAAGGAAAAAAATAAAAGAAAGAATGAAAATTGGAAGGAGAATGAAAGTATTAACTTAGAAAAGTAACAAATAAAGGGTAGAAGAAAATTGAAATTATAGCGAGTGTGATTTACCCTCCACATGTATTTTTTAATTCTTCGATAATTTTATTTATGATAGTAATTACATTTAATATCTTTATGATCACTTCTAGCAACAATAAATAATGATTTTTGAAGTTGTATTTTGTAATATTTTAACTTATAATTTTCTTTATATATATTTAATATAAAAATATATTTGTTATGCCATGTCATGCTTATACTCAATAGGATATCAAAAACATTAGGCACGACCACTTATAAATTGTATCGTGCTGATACTCGTACTCGTGTCCATAAAATTTAGCCCTGAAACTTCCCATAAATTATTTGTATTCGTGCAAAAGTATTAAACTACTCAATTTACATGTGAAGAAAGATATATGTTCTCTTGATTTATCACATATGATTATTTGTGCCCTCAATTTACCACTCATTATCCCCCTTGTTACACTTTCATTTTTAACTAAAATTTGAAAATTTTGCACAGTAAAAACGTGCTCATTGTGATCTATTATAGTCGTCTTGCTTTTGTGCCTAGCAGTAAATAATCACCGTCAAGCCGCCATTTTGACTTTCGGTGCGAAGTTAGTGATAGGATATTTTTAAGTATAATTTCCTACTAATTTTACTTTCGGTGCGAAGTTTTTTGGTTGAACCGTTCAAACAGTACGATTTTTTAATTCTTGGTCGAGATAGAGGGAGGGTCAGTACTGAAAACCAACCTCTGTATTTGTTGCCAAAATTTCCCAATATATTTTTTTTAATAGTGACATACTCACACGGAGCAACTACTTATAAGACAAAAAAGACGTCGCTCTAAGTAGGCCAAAAAAATTAAGGAGACAGGGAAGAGGAGCGAGACAGCGACTTGCAAAAGCACTGAACTACACAAATCATTTAACAAACAAAATAATATGAACACTAAACCAAAAGCAGAAAGGGAAAGAAGAAGAAGGCCCTTAAAGAATAATAAATAGGGCGATCCAGGGGTGGGCGATTCCATACCGAGATAGTGATATGGAATGAGATGGTTATCTCAATATTTATTCATGTTATACATAGAAATAACACTTTTTAAATGAATAAATAATATAGTATAACGAATAATTCGGTTGAAAGATTGAGCTTAAAATTTTTTTAGGATGAAATCTGATTTTCGAAAAGGTCAAAAGAGAAAAACATGTAGATATTAATGCAAATCATGATAAAAACGAGTCAATAACTCGGCGGAATGGGGCAGAGCAGGGCATGTCGGAAACAATACATATGCCCCTCCAGTTGCCCCAAATAGGTCGGGTCGCATGGGAAGGTAAGAAATTGCCATCACTATACCTGGATGAGTTAAGTGGCCACCTCCTAGGGCTCTATCTCTATTAGCATCTCCCGGTTCACCCCCTCTACCAACGATTCTCGAAGCAATTGAGAGGCAAAATCCATAACAAACATCTCGAGAGTTGTACAACTAACTAACTAACCAACACAAGAGTTTAGTTCATAGGGAGAAAGAGAGAGAAGTGTATAAAAGGGAAGAAGAACACCAATATTGAGCTTGATCCATCTTCTCCTTCTTGTTTAGGCACCCCTCTTAAATCTTGAAAGGATTTGGGTTTCACTTGGTAAATAAATCTCCCAAAGAAGACTCCAAACTCTCACTCCCCCTCTACACCTTCCCAAACTATCTCTCTCTGTCTAGAATGCCCTCTTGCTCATAAATAGACCCCTTGTATTCATAGACCCACAAAGGTCTGATATCATGACATAGGGTTCGGAAGAGATCGTGGCTAGGATCCGGGGTGAAAATCCTGTGAACTTCCTAAACATAGGGAAAGCCGCATTTGGAGAACGAAAGTCAAGACTGTGACTTCTGGCTATACTTAGTTCACAGGCGGGAACTTGTTTTCACGACCGTGAACTTTATCTCACGATCTTACCCTTTTTGTCCTTGGTGCTACCTGCGAGACCTTCTTATCTTGACGATGCGAGGAGTGGAATTTCACATTCTGAATTAGTGAAAGTCATGGCCATGACTTGCTTGCTTCATAGCCATGACATTGATCCTTTGTCATCTTTTTATATTCTTTTCTCCCTTAAAACGACTTTCGATTGACACGTAACTAGGCACACTCATCCCTTATCATGCTAGGACATGCATTTAAGCAAGAAAATACAACATAAGATTGAAAAGAATGAGAATGAACAAGTTTCAAGCCAAATCACCAAGCAACTATAAACGCGTGCTAAATGTTAGATTATGATGAGACCGTAAGCCATTTGAGCCTTTCGGTTGCACCGCTAACTTATTACTAGTTAGCTTAACAGTATAAGTGCTAACTTGATAGCTAGACATCACCTTCCATCTGCAATTTTTTTATAAAAATATTGGATTTTATCGTGTAATATATTAATATATATATATTTTTTTTGACAAGAATGTAATATATTAATATTTTTATGCAGTACTTTGCGTGATTTTTTATTTTTTTGTCCCAGTGGTATCCGGTTGGACAACAAGTAGTACAAAAAGAGTTAAAAGAAATAATCGCAAAACAAACGTAAGAGATTTAGCTATATAAGAAAGTAATAAAGTGGGCATGTAGTCATGTACAACGTCATTGGGGGCGCTTAGGTTGTTGGCGGGTAAACAAAAAGACATTTGGAATTTATTTAAGAATAAAAATGGTAAAATTCAAGAAGTAAAAGCTATGTATCACATAATATCTTAGTTAATTTGGTTACGTATCGAATATCTACAAAACTTCAATATGAATAGTTGATTTAAATACAAAAATATAGTGAGATTGTGTAGTTTTCAAACTTAATAAATTAATTTTTATTGAAAGATTCACATAATTTTTTTTTATTACATTCAAACGATTCGTCGTGACAATATAAAAGAAATTCGCGGAGAAGTTCACAGCACACCCTACACAACATCACTATATCAACACACACAACTCAGTGCAATAATGAACCCACTAACTCGCTCACTAACTCTATCCTGTCACTCGCCACTTCCTTCCGCCCTCCCACTCAGTGAGTGATCAACCTAACTTAATTACTCATCACCTTCTCCTCTCACAATCATGGCTTCCCTCCCTGCACACTTAGTCTTACTATTATTATCATTATTATTATTATTAACTTCCACTTTTTCTTATATTATTACAGGTAGTAAAGGAGATCACCTTTTCAGCATAGAAACGGCGGCCGAACCAACCAAACCCAACTCCCCCTGCTTCTTTTTATCTTCTCCTCTCTTCTCTTCTCTTCTCTTCTCCCAAATTTAAGATTCATTATATTATTATTAGTAAACAATATTAAATGAATAAATAACAATTAGCTTGCTCTGATTCCCTCTCCTCTCTCAGTCCTGGTGATGATGTGAACTTGAGACTGAGCCTTTTTGTATTCCCTTATTATGATGCCTTACTCATCATCAGTCATCACTCATCACCTAGCTTTTATTAATATAACTTAATCATTAAAAAAACCAGATTTAATTACCATAATGATTATAGAAGAACAATAAATACAAAATTAGACCCCCCGTCCCTCCCCTACTAATCACAATTAATATCGGGTTTGGCTCCTCTCCCATCCCCATCCTCCTTTTCCGCGGCCCCCTCTTCTCTGTCCCTCTCCCCTGTTCTATAAATATTCCTTCCTGCTTTTTCCTCTCCCCAACCCCCGCCTCCTCCTCTCTTCTTCCGTTACAAATCCCTCCCCTGAATCAAGCTCCTCCTTTCCATTTTTCAATTTCTCTCTTCTCTTCTCGATATAAACCCATATATCTGCTGCTCTCACCCCTCGCAAGCTCTGCTAACCAAGCAGCAGAAAACAGAGAGAATTCACAGTGATTTTACTTGGAACACATAAAAAAAGAAAAAATCATATTGATAATCATTAAAAAGTAGGATTGGAGGAATGATGGGAGGAGAAGAAGCAGCACCGGTAGTGATTAGAGAGTACGATCCCGCGAGGGACGGAGAAGGAGTCGAACAGGTGGAGAGGAGATGCGAGGTTGGTCCCAGCGGCAAGACCTCTGTCTTCACCGACCTCCTTGGCGACCCTATTTGCAGGGTCCGCCACTCCCCTGCTTTTCTCATGCTGGTAAGGCAAAATCCCATTCAATTTTCTTCACCCATTTCCCCATTTTTCTTCCCTTCCCTAATCATTCATTCATTCAAGCCCACCACCGCCGCACACAAACTACAAATACAAACAAACCCATGATTGATTTTTTGGTGTTTAACACGATCGATAAAAGCGCACACACACACACTCAACTCAACTCACTTTCCTCCGGCCCCTGTTCGTATAATCCCTTGTCATTTTCCCCACCCTCCTCTGTCTTTCTTGAGCTAAACAACAAACGGATTGGAAAGGTCGACCCTTCCCCTGTCCTTCATCTCTATCCGTTCAGGCAGTTATTATTAGGGCTTAATTCAGTCTCTGTCTAGAAAATTAATTGATGAGATTATGCATCAAATGCGTGGGGACTGACTGACAGACTGACTGATGATGATTGTTTTTCCCATTGTTATTAATTAAATGAAGGTGGCTCAAATTGGAGATGAAATTGTGGGTATGATCCGAGGTTGCATTAAAACTCTCACTTGTGGCAGAAAGCTCGTCAGAATCCCAAAACAGAGGATTTCCCTCCCTGTTTATACCAAGGCCGCCTATCTACTTGGCCTGCGCGTTTCCCCTTCTCACAGGTAATATACTCTGCTTCCCTTTCCCTGCCTTTTATTGTTGCTGATCAAAATCTCTCACGAGACGAGACCCACAAATATATTATTAATAATATTTATTCATTTTTTGTTTGTTTGTTTGGATTCAGGCGGATGGGGATTGGGTTGAAGCTGGTACGGCGGGCGGAAGAGTGGTTCAGGGAAAACGGCGCGGAGTACGCCTACATGGCAACAGAAAGCGACAACCTCGCCTCCATCGGCCTCTTCACCGACAAATGCGGCTACTCCAAGTTCCGTACGCCTTCCATCCTCGTCAACCCGGTCCACGCCCACCGGGTCCCCGTATCTGGCCGGGTCGCCGTCCTCGAGCTCTCCCCGCTCGACGCCGAGAAGCTCTACCGCCGCCGGTTCGCCACCACCGAGTTCTTCCCCCGCGACATTGATTCGGTGCTCAACAACGAGCTCAGCCTGGGGACTTTCCTCGCTGTGCCACGTGGATCGAGCTACGGGGCCCACATGCCATGGGCCGGGGTGGATAAGTTCCTCTCCGACCCACCCGAGTCGTGGGCCGTGATGAGCGTGTGGAACTGCAAGGACGTGTTCACGCTCGAGGTGCGCGGCGTGTCGCGCGTGAAGAAGGCGCTCGCCCGGACGACGCGGGCGCTGGACAGGGCGCTCCCGTTCCTGAGGCTGCCGTCGTTCCCGGAGCTGTTCCGGCCGTTCGGTTTCCATTTCATGTACGGGCTGGGAGGGGAAGGCCCACGCGCGGGGAGGATGGTGAAGGCGCTGTGCGGGCACGCGCACAACCTGGCGATGGCGCGTGGCTGCAGGGTGGTGGTGACGGAGGTGGCGAATCAGGAGCCGCTCAGGTTAGGGATCCCGCACTGGAAGATGCTATCGTGCGACGAGGATCTGTGGTGTATTAAGCGGCTCGGGGAAGACTACAGTGACGGCTCCTTTGGCGACTGGACCAAATCACCGCCTGACACCTCCATTTTTGTTGACCCTAGGGAGATCTAATTGCAACTTTAGGAGGTAAAATTAGTTAGAGAGAATCATGAAGCATGTAGCCCAAAAGAAAAGAAGGGGAAAAAAAAATAGAGGAAGATATGGTGGTTGCTTTTGGATGTAGAGAGAAAAAAGGGGGGAATATCCTAACTTTAGTTAAATCCTTTCTTACTAGTGCTAAATCTGGCTTCAATTTTGTTCTTCCTCCTTTTTTTCTATCATTGTTTGAAAGGGAAGGTCCAATCATTTTGAAGGATATCGGCATTTAGTGACTTTAGATGGTGAAATTATCAAATGGGGTTTGATAAGGAAGAAAGTGGTTAAGATTCTTATAAGCTGCTTTTAATAATTTGAGTTATTGATACCAGTTGGTTCTCAACTATATATTATATATAATTTTTTTTAGTACACATGTTTAAATTTTCACGATTTATAATATTGATCGTTGATTTAAACATATGGGATTACAGACCTGTGAAAATTTCAAGGGTTTTGATTACGTTTTAAGTGAGCATGTAAGAAATTGTTAACATTGATATACGAACTTCTCTCGACAAATCGAATATAAGGAAGAAAGTGGTTAAGATTCTTATAAGTTGCTTTTAATAATTTGAGTTATTGATACCGGTTGGTTCTCAACTATATATTATATATAATTTTTTTTAGTACACATGTTTAAATTCTCACGATTTATAATATTGATCGTTGATTTAAACATATGGGATTACAGACCTGTGAAAATTTCAAGGGTTTTGATTACGTTTTAAGTGAGCATGTAAGAAATTGTTAACATTGATATACGAACTTCTCTCGACAAATCGAATAATTGGGATAAGTTTGATAGAGAAATGGATGCATATTTTTATGGTTCTTTAAATATGCATATTAATTTGGAGGGAACGGGGAAGAATGATGTGATATGTTATGGCTTTGGCCACTCTCTTTAATATTATTCCATTCCATAGTTTTACATTATTAAACGGTTGGGAGGTGGACTTGAGAAGAGACCCAAAAGGAGGGGAGAATCGATTGAAGCAATACGCAAAATGGGATATCCATCCTTTTTAACATCGTGTTCTTGGTCTTCTTAATCATGCAAATATATACATAAGCTAACAAAAGAGATTCTTGTGCAGTTGATGATTCCATAGTCTTTTTTGGGCGTATCATTTTGCCTTTTTACCCCATTCACTTTCATGCTTGCATCAAATATATACTCTCTTATCTATAATATACTATATATTTATATAGATTCTTCTTTCTCCACCGATCTTGAAATCTATAAGGAATATTCTTGTATGAACTAATGGAAAATGAATGAGTTCGTCAACAAGGACCACTTTAGTTGTATTGTGCATTTTGGTACAAATCATAATTAATATCAATTTATGATAAGGGTTGAGAAAATATATCGGGCTGGTTGAAAAAATCAGCCGAGCAAACCATATCGCAAAATTTGATGTACCACACACTTTGGTTTGAGTTATAGATCGTTAAGAATGATTTGATTTAGTTCATGATGTGCATTATGATTTATGAGACATTTTGATATTTTTTTTATGAATGGGTGAGATTTTATTCCATAAAAAATACAATCAGGTAATCTGTCTTTTGTACAACCCAGCCAAGCAATAAACGGCCAGGAAAGCCTAAACAATGCTAAAACAAGATACACACATTAACAAAATAGAAGTAGCCCTCAGCAAAACCATGACTTGTGGGTGTGAATTGCAGCAGCAAACTTCACATCACCATCAATTTATGCCCGCAAAACAAGTTGCATTCTGTCAACCAACTCTTTAAAATCCAATCTCTTATCCCCAAATAGCATTCGACGGCGCTCACGCCACACCTCGCTCACAAACAAGCACCATAAATTCTTCCTACAAAGCAATACTGCAGTGTTCTCATCGCCTCTACCACACCATCAGACCATTCCGCATAGAACCGAATTGGCCAAGACGCCCAGACTGTGTTCCAGACCTGCTGCACATAGGTACAAGAGAAAAAAAATATGGTCTCTTGTCTCCTCTTCTGTCAAACATAAGGGGCACATGCCACAAACTGTTTGTTAGAATATGACTTGAATTTGATTTGAGTTTGTTTTGTGTTTTAGGCCTATTCTGTTTGGGTTTGAGATTGGGTTTTGTTTTGACCTTTTCCTTGTAGGTTTGGAAAAGGTGTTTGGTTTTCTGTTTGGGATTAGGAGAAGAGTTCTATAAATACTCTTCATCACCCTAGTCTGTAGTAAGGTCAGTCGGGTTAGTTTGTTTGGTTTGTCCGTTTGGAATTTGGTTTGTAACCTGTACTCTCCTCAAATCAGTGAAATTTGTTCTCCTCTGCCCGTGGATTAGCTAGCACACATTGTGTTAGTGAACCACGTTAAATTTGTGTTCGTCCGTGTTGGTTTGGATTATCGATTGCACGCTTCTGTTCTGACAAGTGGTATCAGAGCCTGATTGATCTTTGGGTTATTTGAATCTGTCGGAGTTTGGGATCGCGCTACTGGTTGTTGGGTTTTAATTGAGTTTGAGCTGCCGCTTTCTCAAATCCGTTGGTGTTACCTCGCCGTTGGTGGGTTCTGTTGGCTGGTTGGAACTTGCTTTTGGGATTTATTGGAGTTTAGCGTTGCTTCACTCTGGCACTCGGGTGAGTCCGTTCACAAAATTCCACCCGCATATTGAAATTAGATTATTTGTTTGGCTTCAGTTCCCTGGTGCATTTGAGTTGATTGGTTTGGTTTCTTTGTGCCCACGTGGATATATATTGCAATCTGGATTTGGGGATTATTTGGTATAATTGGAGTTGAAGTTTGATTTTTTGGTACTTTGTGAAAGGTTACCAACAAGCCGCCGTGAGGTGTTTGTGCGTTAGGGTTTGCAGCTATCTCTTTAATTTTTTTTTCTATAAAAATTGAGGATGGCTGCTATCAGTATGAAGATTGATAAGTTTACTGGGAGAAACAGTTTCAGTTTGTGGCAGATTAAGATGCAAGCACTGTTGAAACAACAGGGTTTGTGGGCTCCGTTGTCTGGAAAATTGAAGAAGGAAAGCATAGGTGAAGAAGAGTGGATTACTTTGGAGGAGAAAGCTCACTCTACAATCTTGCTTTGTTTGGCTGATGACATCATCACTGAGGTTGCTGCTGAGAAGACTGCTGCGGGCTTGTGGTTGAAGCTTGAAAGTCTATACATGACAAAGTCTTTAACCAACAAGTTGCATATGAAGCAACGTTTGTTCAGTTTGCGTATGGAGGAAGGTACATCTCTCAGGAATCATCTAGATCAACTCAATACTATCTTGTTAGATCTGCGGAATATTGATGTTAAAATAGATGATGAGGATGCTGCCTTAATTTTGTTAGTATCTTTGCCACAGTCATATGAGAATTTTGTGGATTCTTTTATTGCTGGGAAAGATAGTTTGTCTTTGGAAGATGTCAGATCTGCTCTACATACTAGAGAGGTTCGACATAAGGCGTCAGGTTCAGGTTCGGAAAATCAGGCATCTGGGTTGGCTGCTACTAGTAGTAGGAGACAACAATCTGGTAATAAGAAGGCGAATACAAATTCGAATTCTGCTGGTTTGAAGGATGATATCTGTCATTACTGTAAGGAGAAAGGGCATTGGAAATTCGATTGTCCTAAACTGAAGAAATATAAGGAGAAGAAGGAATCATCTGCTGCTGTGGCGGAAGAAACTAACTCTGATTCTGAAGATGGTTTAGCCTTAGCAGTGAATGAGCAGGTACATCATCAGGATGTGTGGTATTTGGATACTGCAGCTGATTATCATATGTGTCCAAGCAGAGAGTGTTTTTCAACTTATGAGCAGATAGATGGAGGACATGTTTCTATGGCCAATGGTGCTATCTGTAAGATTGTTGGAAGAGGCTCCATCAGGATGAGGACACATGATGGTTCTGTTTGCACCTTGAACAATGTTAGACATATGCCAGAGATGACTAAGTATCTGATATCCTTGAGTCTACTCGACAGCAAGGGTTTCAGTTTCAAAGGTGAAGGTGGAGTGTTGTCTGTCTACAAGGGTTCTAAGGTGATTTTGAAAGGTGTCAAGCGTGGTGCCTTGTATAATCTACAAGGTTCTGTTTTGACATGCTCTATTGGTGATAAGTGCACCAAGTTGGTTCTGAATGGCAAGTCTCAATATGGATTGGACTTGCCGAATGGTTTGAATTGTTGACCGCCCTTAGGGGCATTTGGAGGCAGGGGAGATTCTGTTACAGCTGATTTGGAGGAGTTAGTACGTCTGGCAATTCTGATTGCATCTGAGTTTGGCGATTTGCATCGCGTTTGAGTTTGGCGGTTTCGATCGCATCTGGGTAAATTTAGCGATATGTATCGCGTCTGGGTACATCTGGCAAATTTGGTTGTGTCTGGTACATCTGTTATTTGAGAGAGAATTCAAGTCAAGGTGGAGATTGTTAGAATATGACTTGAATTTGATTTGGGTTTGTTTTGTGTTTTAGGCCTATTCTGTTTGGGTTTGGGATTGGGTTTTGTTTTGACCTTTTCCTTGTAGGTTTGGAAAAGGTGTTTGGTTTTCTGTTTGGGATTAGGAGAAGAGTTCTATAAATACTCTTCATCACCCTAGTCTGTAGTAAGGTCAGTCGGGTTAGTTTGTTTGGTTTGTCCGTTTGGAATTTGGTTTGTAACCTGTACTCTCCTCAAATCAGTGAAATTTGTTGTCCTCTGCCCGTGGATTAGCTAGCACACATTATGTTAGTGAACCACGTTACATTTTTGTTCGTTCGTGTTGGTTTGGATTATCGATTGCACGCTTCTGTTCTGACACTGTTGGATTCCACTTCTTCATCTTTGACAGTGTGGTAATTCAGTCAAGCAAAGTGAGCCAGACAATGACAGAATTCCTGGAGATCAGTCCTGAATGCCAGACAAGCTTCCCCACGTAACTTCTTGCTGCCTAGGTCGTAGATTCTCCCAGACCCTCTGCATATTATACCTTTCCATCAACACCCCTGCCATTCAACACCTTGCCTCGTCATCCTGAAGTGTTGCCTTACTTTAGTTCGTAGCTTTAGGATCTTGTTCCAGACCCACGCTCCTTTGGTACTAACTTCCCAGATGCTGATACTTCTGAGACGGTACTCTTTAGCCCAGGCAGTCTACAAGGTTCTTTGATCTGACTGTATTGCCCACAAATGCCTGATTAAACAGGCTTTATTCCACGAAAACAAGTCTTTAAACCCCAATACTCCCTCTTTCTTGGAGAAGGAAACATGTTTCCATGCAACTTTC